TGCCTTTTTCACATAGCTGATGTAAATCAGAGAAATTCTCACAGTGCCTCATATCCTGGAGATCTATTCTGCCATTTGTTTTGATTTTTAAAAAAAATCTACATATTAGACTTCTTTAGACTTTAAGTGTGCTTTCATTACAAAATCTGTTTGAGTTCTGGCCATCCACATCCCATCTGTGGCATACGGACGCTTCCCATAATCCCTCGCTGGCACCGAGGCCCTGCCATGCATTATGCTGTTCATTTAAAGTAGGAACATATTTTACAAAAGCATTTAGCACTTTAAACTGTTGAGCCGGAGGGGAGTGTGATTGGTTATGGGGCTTTGACAAGCGTCAATCATTGATCATGTCGTCAAGTTGCCACGATGAAGCTGTGAGACTCTGAAGGCCTTTATAGACTGTCACTCAACTGATCAAGACTTTGCAGAGAGTCATTTTTGCTACTGAAATGCGTGATTTGCCATTGAAGTCATCGATTATTTCTCCCAAGATGGCTTGATTCTCCTGCGTGGATTTGTCATTTCCTGCATTTTTTTTTTTGCTCTATTCTTATGCAAGAGTGTTTTTCAGGTTACTCATAATTTTTCTGACAGCCTTTTTATCTCACTATGAATTTAGTGAAGCAGTGCCGGTGCATGTGTGTGTGGGGTTGTGTTCATTTGGCCACTCTATTGGAATAAATGGTCTAGTTGTTCGTTTAGCCATCTGAAATGGATGTGACTCAGCTGTGCTTTACGAACTTTTAATCTCATTTCCGGATCCTGTCTGTATGGCAAACAACTGCATCAACATATCCCATTCCTGAACAGATAATATATTGATTCATATACAGTGTGTGTTGATGTAGTTTGTCATTTGACAGATGATTGCTGCGTGAAACCCTCGGATCTCTTTCTCTCTCTCTCTCCCTTTTCTCTCACTCCTCTTCCCATAAGAATGATAAATGATTGCATTATTAATCTTCCTCTGGACACAGATGGCGAGAACCCGTGTAATCAACTACACACACATGCACATGTCCATATGTTGATTTTATTTTTGCGCAGTTATTAATAAAGATTATGCATAATGGGTAATGCATAGTTTTTTGTGTTTTATCATGTATACATTTTATAATTTATAATTGTGTTTATAATGTATTTATCATAATGTATTTATCATAATGTATAATTATAATGTAATTATGTATAATTTGAAATCCGTTTATATATACAGGTGCATCTCAATAAATTAGAATGTCGTGGAAAAGTTCATTTATTTCAGTAATTCAACTCAAATTGTGAAACTCGTGTATTAAATAAATTCAATGCACACAGACTGAAGTAGTTTAAGTCTTTGGTTCTTTTAATTGTGATGATTTTGGCTCACATTTAACAAAAACCCACCAATTCACTATCTCAACAAATTAGAATACTTCATAACACCAATAAAAAAAAACATTTTTAGTGAATTGTTGGCCTTCTGGAAAGTATGTTAATTTACTGTACATGTACTCAATACTTGGTAGGGGCTCCTTTTGCATGAATTACTGCATCAATGCGGCGTGGCATGGAGGCAATCAGCCTGTGGCACTGCTCAGGTG